AAACTAAATGTAACTGGACCCCCATATGCCCAGAAGGTACACTCGTGCGCAAGTTCAAATAAAACCTGAATGGACCCCCACACTACAAAAAAAATAGCATTTAGCAACGGATTTCAGCGATAAACAATATTCTGTCACTAAATAATGATGGATTAGCAACGGAAAACTCATTTGGTTGCTAAAATATCAAAGAAAATATTAAGATCTTCAATAGCGACGGATTAGCGACAAAAATTCAAATTTGTCGTGAAAATTAGGCGCTAAAATTTGGCGCCTTTATTTGCCTACAGAAATAGCGACGTACGGTTGATGACAAAATTGATAATTTGTTAGGGACATATATTACGACGAACCAATTTGTCGCTAGTGTTATTTTATTTCTTGCTACAAATATTTTGGTCGTAGGCTAATTTCTCTTAAATCATAATGAAATATTTAGTGACAGAACGCATATCCGTCGCTAAAATCGTCGCTAATTTTTACCCAAATTTTTTAGGGCTCAAATATTTCCCTCTCAACTTAACACTTTTCCCTCATTTTCAGAGAGAGAGAGTGAAAAAACTTCTCATCTCTTAGAGTGTGAGAATGAGAAAACCTTAAAGTGCGAGGGTGAGAAACGTTTCTAACATGGAGGACCTCTAGCTGCTCCCCACCCACCCACCCGCTCAGTGAGAAAACTCTTTGTGAAGTGAAAGTTTGTAGATCTTTGAAGAATGTGAGTTAAGTAAAGTTAAAAATTGAGATTTCACAAATTTGGGTAAGTATTCTCTCTATTCCAGCTCTATTTTGTTTGTCTTTTACTTGTAGAATAACAATTTTGGAGTCATCTCTATTTTGTTTGTTATGTAATCATTCCTTTTTTTTCCTATTTGTAACAACGATTTTGATGTTGTTATTCTTGTTTTTGTTTGCTTGTCATATGATTTTTTGAGTGTAGACCCATTTTGATTCATTCTATTGTATGGCTAATTTGACAATAGGTTTCTCTGATTCATTCTCTAAAAGTGAATACCCATATTTGAAGAATAATTTAGTACTCTAACTTTTGATTTTTATCTTCAAATTTTCGAGTTTTGAATCCACCCCCTATTTTTATTTTTTCATCTTTACTTGCAGATCTATATGGTATCATTGGGTGCATTTGATTTTTGAAGAGTTGTTGATATGGATTGTTAGTTAGACCCAATAATAGTTATTTATGTAAATATTTCAACAAAAATACTACTCCTTCATTTCAATTTATGTGACACTCTTTGGGATATTGAGATTCAAACAAGTCTTTTATTAAGATGAATTTGAAATTAGAAATTTATAGTGGACATAACTGATAAGGTTATTTATTTTTGTATGTGAACAAATAAGTATACGTATTTGAGTGGGAAAAAGGTAATGCACCCTACTTAATTAGAGATATAATAGTTAGTTATAGAAGAGGGCTTGTTAGTATTGAAGAGTGTATTATACTAAAGTTGTACTTTTCAAATACTTACTTAACTTTTTGTTTTGTGTAGATTAATGTTTCACTTCATTATAATACCTATTTGTTGTTTTTTCTTTTATCGATGACATGATTGCTTCATTGTTGCTGGTACTTACGTGTTGGTGCTTGGATGCTGCGTCATCATTGCTGGAAATCAAGTGTTGCTGCTTGGACGCTGCTTCATCGTTGCTGGAAACTTGTCGCTGCTGCTTGGGCACTACTTCATCATTACTGGAAACTTGTCGCTGCTGCTTGGACGCTTCTTCATCACTGTTGATTTATCAAAAGGTAATTGTTTTCTACTTTCAACACTCAAACTTCATATTTCTTTGAAAATCAAAAGATATTTCTTTTTAACTCTTTCAGTTTTCTTCACAAATTTGATATTTTTTTATAGATTTGGCTGAAACTCAAGGAAATTCAAGGTAAAGTCTTTGAAGATTTGTTTAGGTAGAGTCTTTAAACTCAAGTAAATCTATTTTATTTATATATTTCGTTGTATCTCTTTTCTATATGATTTTATGTTGAATTGTCGATGCCTTTTCTTTATGTGATTGTTGATGCCTTTCATTACCTTTTACATGAATAATTGGTTGCATTGTCCAACTCTTGCAAGTTTAAGAATTATGATTTAATATAGTAAACATTGTTGCTTAATATGTTCTGTATAACTACAACCTTTTTTCCTTTTGAACCTGTTGACTAAATGGTTTATATAAGCATTGGTGTTGCATTATAACATGTTATGTGTTCTAATAAAGATTTAATTCTTTGTTGACACTTGTGCTTGTCATTCTTTTTTTGTGTGGTTCAACACCAAGTGAGATACATTTTATTAAAAATGGTCGAGATCCAACACCAAGTGAGATACATTTGCACGTCTATACACATGGTCATGATGAAAAATCTTTTGTTGGTGAACGAGCTCGAGTCGTGCATGTAAGTTCAATATTCTATAATTATATTCACGTTATATATTTATTGGTGGAAAAATCATGTATTCACTTTATATATATATATATATATGTGTGTGTGTGTATGTGTTATATTATTGTATTCACTTTATAAGTCTAAACCAGTAGTATTAAAAGCTTCCTCGATTGTTCTGTAGTCTCTAATGGTATTGGGATGTTGAACTTTGGGTATGAGTTTTACAGAGGTGCAATTCAAAGATTTAAACATATCAGTAGTGTTGTAAAGCTCTTGAGTATCTTGTGTTCTTTTTAGACTTGGTCCACTGCTCATTATGTCTCTTCTTACTACTGATAACACATGAGTTGATGATCCAAGTAATTGCCTATATCTCTTCTTACTCTTCAAATAGTTTAGGAGAATAGTGAACGTTGATCATCTGTACTTGCATCTACTCAAGATTCTCTCTGCGTGCTGAACCTTCTTTGTGACAAATGAAAATTTATTCATGTTTAATTTTTTTAAGTGGTGTTTCAGTTCTATCAATTTCATTCAGATTCTTTCTATTCCTCTTGTCTGACTTGGTTTTCTCCATTCCCTTATGATGATTGGCATGAAGCTTTTATGATTTGTTAAGTGGTTGAAAAATCTGATAGTTTCTTGCCCCTTTTGGCGACATCACTTCAAAAGGGAATGGAGATTTCTTGTGAACTCAATGTCTTGATCTTATATTGTTATTGTGTTTATTTTATACAAATCAAGATAAATTTCTCTATCTCGATCTAGCAAACATTTTTCACTTTTGAGCTTCATGGTTATTGTCTGTATTGATTTTGATTGGAATAAGTTGCAGTTGCTTTCCCTTTATTTCTGTTTGTAGCTTCTATTATTTTCTATTACTAGCTCTGGAAATCTCCTCTTGAAAGGTTATTTTCTTAGGGGATAGTTATTGCTTCTCAAGAATGTAGTTAACTGGAAAAAGGAAACTAGAAATGGATACAAAAATCTACTGAAATGGATTAAATAAAAAGAGGGAGATTAGCCAAAGTAGTGTATCAGGAAATCTTCTAGAGTAACCTCCATAGTTCTCCTCTTGCTATATCAACAACTGATCTTCCACCAGGAATATTTGCAGCTCGTTTTGTAATTCCCAACACTTAGCTCCATGTCTATGACTAAGATTTTTCTCTTTCAACTCTTTTATTTAAAGAATCAATATTTAAAGACATGCAACTCTTTTGCCTCTTTTACCATATCTAGCTCCTTCTGCAACCCTTCCAACCTGGTTTGAATTTCCTTAAGCTGCAAATAGGAAACTTATAGAACATATTGACTCACGTTTAAAGCATTCTCTAGTTCAGATTTCTCTGATTCAATCTTCTCCAGCTTTTGTTCTAATTCGACCACCCTTTGTGAAATGAAATTGTATTATGCTACCAAAGTGTTCTGAAAATTGAGGGAATCATGAGGAACATCATCAGATGTTGCTGAAGGTGTCTTGTTTGCAGTTTCAGATAATGTAGCAATGAGTGCTAAAACCCTTGAATTTGAGCAACTTGGTTCATATTCTCTTGTTTCCAGTTTACTCATCTTGAGGGCGTCATTGCCGACTGTGTTTAATCGCTCTCTATTATCAGATTGACTATCGATGACAGAGTCCACATATAAAGATGAAACAACAGAAGAGCATTGATCAGTGAATGGGAATGATTTGTGAGCCATGGCCTGTAACTTTCAACACTCAGCTTCATGTTTGGTTAACTTTTTATGTTTTTCAACTGCTGCTTGCTAGCAGTTTCTGCTGCTTCAGTACTTAAATCCCTCTTTATAATCATAATTTCCAACACTTCTGAACAACAGAGAAGTTCCATTTAGAGAGTTGTGTTATCGTTCTCTAGACATTTAAGCTTGACAAGGATATCATGATCAGTAGAAATAGGCATTTCAGCTTTACCAGCCTCCACTTATGTCTGGAGCTTAAGTAGCTATTTCTCAAGTGCAGTTTTTTAAGATTGCAATTCATTTTTTCTGCCAAAGCATCTTGAATCATTTTTTGTTTCTCAACTCTAGCTTGTCTCAACTGCCTGATACATTCCTTGAGTGCACCATCGAGATGACTGACACGAACATCCAAAGTCAAATTCTTCTACACAATTGCATCTAGTTAATATTTTGCTGATATGATATTGGTTTTGTTTGAAATTTACTCTTGTGAACTTTGTTTTGCTCAATATGGTTGTTTTTGTTCTTTACGCTTTTTTTAAAGCTTAATTTTTTAAATACATGAGTGTTCACTATTGTTAATGGAGTCTGGTTGTGTCAATTATTATTATTAATAGTGAATTTTACTAATTATCACTCTCTTTTGCAGGAAAAATATCAAGAAATATTACAGAACCAAACACAAACTCAATTTGATGTTGATCAATGGCAAGCATATTATCAAGCAGCATGAGGGGAAAATAAAAGAAGGATATATGGTCTTGGAGCTCAAGAAAAAGTATTTTAAGGACAAAATATTGGTGTCTCTTCTGGATTTGATGTTGCGGGCTGAACACCATGTCCAAATGCTCAGGCAATACCGACAGAAAATAGGGATGGGTTAGTGATGCGAATGATTCCTTCGTTAACTAATCACTTGATTCCTATATTTGTTGAGAATGCACGTGGGTTGAATACTCTAGCCTCATCTCAGCCTCACTCTCCTACCAACCATCCATCAACTATTGCACCTGTAATTCCTGGTCCAGCTGCAGCAAATATCGCTGAGGATCGTGCATCGGTTTTTGAGGAATGAAGTTAATTTTGTTGGCTAGATTTTTCGCAAATGCTTTCAGCCATATATTTTGCTTGAAATTTATCTTTAGGGATGTTTTGAACTTGGTAATATAATTTGCACTTAGCTATGTACTTTAGATCTTTTAGAATATTAATTTCTATTACTTGAGTTAATTTTGTGATTATATAATGTGTTTGAACGTGTGAATTTAAAATATTACACAAATAAAAAAATATTGACGAATTTTTGACAAATTATTTTCGACGCTAAAGAATGGCGACAGAATTAGCGACAAATATTTGGTCGCCTAATATGATGAGACGACGAAATAATATACAAAATAAGCAATAAATTTAAAATACAATGATGGATTTTTTTGTCGCTAAATAAAGACAAAAATTTATCAAGGCTACGGAATTAGTGACAAAATTTGGTCGCCAATGAGATAAGACGACGAAATAAGTTACACAATCAGCGACATATATTACAAAAATAGTGACGAATTGTTTCGTCGCTAAGCTTGCCAACAGATAACTTCCGTCGTGCATCCGTCACTAAATTTGCGACAGATTCATTTTTTTGTCGCCAAATGGTTAGCTACACGGAATATAGCAACGAGCAATATTCTGTCGCTAAACCAAAATAGCGACGAAATAAGCTATTTAGTGATGGATTTTGTCTGTCGCTAAACACAATTTTTTTTGTAGTGCCATAATCCGACAGGTACACAGAAAAGCTAAGTCTACTAAGAAAGAAGATAACCGGGCTCCTAGCCCAAAGTAACTAAGATAATCCATCAGACTCCACCCAACCAGCAGTGCATTCCCAGCCCAGCTAGAAAGAGTGACCCTAGGGGGCACCCAACCAAACAGTCCACTCCCAGCCCAGCTAGAAAGAGGGACCCGTGAGTGAGGTAGATATCGCGGGTCGTCCTACCATGCAGTCAGCTCCTAGCCTAGCTAAAAAGAACAACCCGGGGACACCCAACCAGCGATACGTTCCCAACCCAGCTAGAAAGAACGACCCCGGGGGTGATGGTATCCCCAATAGGATCCAATCCAACAACAACCACCGTGGAACGACGTCTAATCTAAGAAATCACAGAAAAGGCTCCAAGCCTATACTATCTCAATCCCACGCCTCTAGTGATGCACCAAACCTTC